AGCACATACATGAAGAGGTGTGTTGGAAAGTGAGAGCAGAATCACGTTCAGCATAACAGAAATGGGTATAACAAGTTATGGTCTACTTAACATATTAAATGAAATTTAAAATAAATAATTTGAATCGATAGTGCTGTTTTAACATTTATTTGATTTGGGGAATGAATTTGAGCAAAGATATTTAGAAACTGAAGAGCATCACAGAAGGACTATGGAAAAGTTGGATTTATGGACTTGAGTAGGATAACCACTTCATCCTAATCTGGGCAAAAAACATGTTGAACTGTTCCCACTCCCTCATTCAGAAAAGACAAAAACCGCTTTCTGACTTCTGTGCAATTTTTGTTTTCTATTTTAGGGCCAAACATTGAAAAATCAGTAAAAGACTTGCAGCGTTGCACTGTTTCTCTAACCAGATATCGTATGATGATCAAAGAGGAAGTGGATAATTCAGTGAAGAAGATAAAAGCTGCTTTTGCGGAATTACACGGCTGGTAGGTAAATCGACTTGAGAGGTCCATCAGCACCACCTGACAAAAGAGGGACTAATTAGGCCACTAGCATTGGTGGGGAGGGGTCACTTACACCCTCTTTGTTTGCAGCATTGGAGTTCATCCAAAAAAAAAAAAGTGGTGTTATTAAGTAACTGCTCACCAACCAGGAATTAATATCTGCATAAGTGCATGTTTACATACATACATAAAGGGGGACAAAACTACAGTTCTTTGAGAAAATCTCACTATGGTTTTTTTCCTAAGTGACCTGTCTTGACCTAATTCTTTTGTATCAAGTTCAGTGGCGGCATATCTGAGCAAATGAAAGCTTTTCCAAAAATCCTGTCTATGGGGTTTTCTTGAAGTCTCTTCTACCTTATTTAAATCTCTTCTTTCTATACTTCTTTGATCTTACCTTCTTTGGCAGGCAGTCCTTTACTGTCTCTTCATTTCCTATCATCTTCTTATCTCACTATTCTTTTTTTCTCTCGTAGTTTCCTCTAACTTTCCTACCAATCACTTGATTTCCACTTCTTGCCTCTAGTTCATTCTTTTTCCTCATTTTTTGATCTCTTCCTTTTTTCTAAATTTTTCCACTATTGTTTTGGTTATTCCTGATCTTCACCATATATGTCTACAACCTTTGAAAATTTGTAGCAGAAATAATTGTAATAGCAAGCTGCATATTTTGTATATACTTGTCATAGAAAAATATTTTCTGGTTTGAGTTTTATTCTGCCTCTTGTTAAGCATAGATACCATATAAAAGCTGTGTATGATACAGTGTTGCAGTAAACAGAAGAAATCATATTGAAATGTACAAGATTTGGTTACAAATCACAGAAGAGCACAAAAACCTTTCACCCTTAATTAGTCCACAGTATTTGCCAGTATTTTTATGAGCGTACCTTATGAAGGTGCTGTAGTATTGGCAGTAGTTTAACTCTGGACTTCAGTGGTGTATTCTTTGTCTTCATTTATGCATCTAAAGTTGCTTCAGTGCCACTGGGCTCCACTTCTGTATGGGCGGAAAGTCCAAGCACTACTGAGCTGATTTTGTGGAAGATTATGTTTTACTGAGCCACCCATGTACCTTACTGTCTAGCAGAGAATTTTGTTTCCGTTTCTGTACTCCAATGAACATGGGCTGTGATTGCCAGTTGTACTAAACTGCATATTGTTGTCAGCAGTGCTCTGGAGCCAATATAGTGATGTTTGCTTATGAACTAAAATGAAGCAATTATATTGTTTGTATAGAAAAATTGCATAAAGATCATCAGTTCCTTGCACCTTTTTTTGTGGTAGTCCTCAGAGTTGTCTTCATATGATTTTATAAAACTTCTAAAATGTTTATGGTTTCTGCTAAGAAGGCTCTGACCTTTTCTCTGAGTAAACTCCTAGTTGGGTCTCATTTGCTGTGTAGTTCTCGATTTTTTTATTTTTTTTTTAAATTTTTTTTAATAACAGTGTTAAAAATAAATCATGTCACCTACATGTCTAATCTTGTTTGCAGGCAGTCACAGTCAATTTAGTCTCTAAACAATAGTCACTCTAGTCATGGAACAGGCTTGGAACTCTATCACGATCCAAGAATGTGAGGAGAGGTGCTACATTAGTAAATTCAGAACTGAAATTCTTCATTTTTCATGTACTCATGTTTTAGATTGAAAACCACTAAAGTGTATTGCCTAATGCTAAAATGGGAGAAATAGGGGAAAAGACGAAAATTACCCCAAAAGAGTATGTAAATCTAAGTAGACTTAAAATAATGAAAAATAGCCTGGAAAACTTTTGAATATGATTCATTTAATTTTAACTCCTACCAGCTTCTGTGCCTAAATTGTTGGAGTGGAGTGTGCCAGAAGCTCTAGAATGTAACAGATCTGTGCTCTGAATACTCATGCCTCACAAAGCAATTTCATGCAACTAGCATAACGTTGCAACAAGGACAGTATAATGTCAGGACATGTTTTTGGAAATTTTAATGCAGGCTACATTGCTTTTGGCAGCTCGTAAGCCTAATATTTAGATTTTTCTTCAAATGAATGAAGTGAAAATTTGGTTTAAATAGTAAAATGCATGACTTAACACATTTGCTAAAATTAAAAAGAGTTTTGGGGTATTTCATGTGACCTTGTGGCTTAAACTCTGAAAAAGATGGGAAGAGCTGTCTTTAGTGCCTCATTTACAAAAACTTGCTGCTAACTGCTCTAGATTCAGAGGATTTGAGTAGAAATTACCATAACATACAGCTTCAGACCTCATACAGTCCACACATCATATTCCTGGGCTGAATGGTTTAGTTTGTGTTACTTACATGGCAGTCTCCTTGCTTAAAAGTTGAACAAAGCTTAGCTAGTGGAAGTGGGAGGATAAGGTAATTAAGTGAGCACTCAACCTCTTGCATATTTATCACCCTCCTTGGGCAGTTTCACTGTGGCACAGTCGACTTGTCTATCAAGGAAAAATGAAGCTATTCAGCTAAACTGTTGCTCCCAGAATATTATGAAGTAACGAAAAGCAAGGGCGTGACAATGATATCTGGTCTCCTTTGTGACAATGATTCCAAAGCTTTTTGCAAGTTGTTCTCCCAGTTGCTGCTGGAATGTGGACTGGTTGAGATGTACAACAGATAAGCGTAGAACAGCAACTAAATGCTGTCTGTGGTCAGAACTGCAGGGAATACTTGAATGGGCTCAATACCGTAACCTAGATGGGAGCTTAACCAGTTCCTGTTACACACAGCTGGGGGTTTTGGTGAAGCTACATGAAGTCAGAAGCTTTAATCTTGTGTTGCAGCTGCATGCTGAAACATATGCTACTTTCTGTTGTCTCTCTTGGGTTTGTTTCTCTTTTTACTGCTTTGGCAATAGGATAAAAGACCCTTTTTGTGTCCTTCTCTTTGCATTTACATCAAGGTCAGAATCAAAACTGCATTTCAAGAGACAGTAATCTTTTGGACTTTCTAATCTACTTTTTTTAATCTTTTCATGATTTTACCAGTCACAGAAAGGATGAAGTGCAAAGGTAACATCATATATGTTCCTTTTACCTCTACCTGGCATATGAAGTGATTATTATGGAGATAAATGAATAGCGCATGTGGCCTAAGATGTCCTGAAAGCTTCAGCAGAAAGATTCATAAGAACTTTTCCTTTTAGCAACAGAAACTGTTGAGTGATAGTTGCCAGTGGAAGTCCATGTCTCTGTCTGGCTCACAGCTTGACCTAACCAGTGAAGGGAAGTTATTCCTGAACACAGTCAGTACTATGCTGCTATTTAACAAGTCTGGCAAAACAGTGCATACCACCCTCCCACAATCTAAAAAAGGAGTGGTATGGAGCAGGTGTGCTGTGAACACCTCTAGATGCTTGGAAAAGAAAATTGCAGTGCTTGCTTTAACTTTTTAATGAAGTGGGGCCAAAAAACAATCCCAAAAAGGTGTTTGAAAATGCTGCAGTGGGCTCACTTTCTCTTTCTTGATAAGCCTCCCAGGAGTTCCTGCGAACTGGAATAATTCTCTGCATGCTCAGAGCAAGAGATAATGACTTGCTTTTATACAGTGCTTTTCATGCCAGAAGACAACAGAGCATTTTACAGGCCATGGGCTGGACCAGGCAGGGCACTTCGCCCCACTCTGCAAGAAGTCTTTTGCCGTCTCATGTGGATTGTACTTCTGCTGTGACCCAGCGCTGTTGTCACTCCCACTTTTGCAGGGCTTTCTGTGATACTGCTTTCCCCAAGGCTATGAGAGCAGTTGGGCAGAGCAACCTGAAGGGCAGTGATTCTCAGATTCACAGGCGCGCCTGAAAGTTATGAGGAAGATCCTTCTAACAGTACTTCTTGAGCCCGTATTTCTCCTCATTGCATCCAGCTTTGGTATATGGTTTTCAGGAATACCTTTATGTGAGTGAGAACATAAGCAGCTCCACTTACTGCTTGGACGTAACATGTCAGAGCATAACCCTGTCTCACAGTAGAGTAGGGCAAGATAAAAAAGAATACCAAGTAGTGCTTGCATTGCAGGGGAAGGTCAGAAAAGCTAAGTAAACTCCCCTCTTGTGGCAAATTAAGGGCACGGACTCCGGTTGAGGATAAACCGAAGACCTTTATTGTTTGCTACAGCATCATTATATACTTTCCTCTACTAGTACACCCACCACTAAGCAAGCTACGATTGGTGTACAGGCATTGTCCACGTGCCACTACCGCTAACCCCATTGGCTGCTATCCTGCGTTCCTCTCATACCTAATGGTCAGCACCTGTTTACTTCCCTGTTATCTTCCTTTACTCTTGTTCAAGGCTCAGGGCAGGAGCTGCCTGAATCCTGTTAACTCTTTCTGTCCCTTCTCTCCTCGTTCCTCCTCAATGCAACAGTGCCTGGACAGCTTCCAAAGGTCGCCTCTGACTTACTCCTACACCCTCTCACTCTAGTGAGACCAAGGTTAAAACCCATATGCTATAATTGTGTTCTTGCTCTTCCACCAAGAGACTGAATGATGATCTTGAGGATAAAGAGAGCCCTGGGAAATCTGAGTGAAATGTGTAGAGCACAAAAGGAGCCACAATTCCCCATAACACCTCTTGCCAGAAAGTCATTTTCACGTATTGGGCATCTGCACAGTCATATAGAGAACTAAAAGGAAACATCTGCTACTTGCTCGTATTGTCTGCTTCCAACCATGCATGGAAAATAGTCTGTAGAAAATAGTAAGGGCCAGGTTTAATTACACTGCATACAGAACTGGACAACGAGAAGCTTCCTCTACTCTTTGCATCTCAAACACATTGATATGTCCAATGCTTTATAAAGAGCGTGAAAACCAACACAGTTTATTTTTTGAGTGAACAAAACACTTGAAAGCTCCACCACAGGCTGAATAAAAAATTGATTCTGACATAATGCTGGAAAAATGGAGTTTGGCAATACTAACAGTTTAAAAATACATTAAAATACATTCGGGGAACAACTAGAAAGCATGTACTGCATGTTTGGGGA